TACTCAGGCAGGAAGCTGCCCATTTAAGACCCTGATGACTAAGGGTGATATCCCCAGCTCCGAACTTTCATCTACACTGGGGCCCATGCCTTGCAGATAATATCCCAGGCAGCTAAGCTCACCTGTAACCTTTCACCCTCTATGATTGTGGTCCCCTCTCTGGGACCTTTGGACTCACTAGGCCCTGGCCCCACCTTTCAGGCCAGTTGGAATCCCAAGCCTCTTGCTCCGGGCATCCCTCACTTGTGGGCCCCTGGCCCTTTTGAGCCCCTTGGGTCCTGGCCCAAGTACAGGCCAGTTTGGTTGCCTCAAGCCAGGCTTGCCTTCTCTTAACTCTCACAACTCTACTGAATCAAGTGAGCCTGAGGCCTTTCAAGGATCTTGCCAGCCTGGGCTTTCCCCAGCCAGGACTGTGTCAGGTCTGGAGGTTATCAGGCCGTTCACCAGGGAGGTTCACAGTCCTGGCATTTCCTGGGGCTGCCGCACCACTGGCAGTCCCGCCAGGCCTCCCTACCCTGGCGGGGTACAGTTTTAGGTCATGCCTAGGACCTGGGGCCTCCCATAGCCCCAGGCCATATACCTCCAAGATGTTCCTGAGCCACAGCTCAGCTAACTGATGTTTCTGCCATGGCGGCTAGCAGCAAACTGCTGCTTCACCCTTTATATATCCTGGATCTCCAAATGGCCACCACCATCAAGCGCCTGGCTGCTGCCTGCTCCTGCCCTTAAAGTGGGAGGCACCAACAGTGCCCTGCCACAGTCCCCCTTCTGTCTGTACAGTAAGATTGAAGTGCTAATATGTGTGTCATGCAGGTGTTTTTACAACATCAGAAAAACCTTCCTAGGGTCAGCACAAATTCTAATTTGTTTTTTCTTTACTGAAATAGTGGGTTTTTGACACGTTTGTCATGTATATGCTTGTTTGCTGATTGATATTCAAATTATTAAAATAATGAAAGTCTGAGTTTAAGAGACTACACTAAAAATAGGTCCAAATAATACAACCTTCAAGGTCAGTACAGATTAGTAAGCTAATGCAGGGTAATGTTTCAATAAACAAAATGTCAGATTTATCTATATGTTAATTGTTTGTAAGGGCTAAATAAGATTGTCAATGTTATCCAAAAATATTATTAAAAAAGTATTTGCCTACTTGTTGTCAGATAATTCAGCTCCACCATGTCCAATGGCAAGTTTAACAGTTGTAAAGGGCTACACAGAATGCTAATTAAAGCCTCTGCTTAATGTTTTCTTGCATGTTGTCCATTAAAAAAGAAATAACCTCTAAATTACCTGGTTACCTGTCAAACAGAAGGCACTCTACCCACGTTTACCTTGCTTTTTTTCAGTCCTCCCTTGTGGGCCCTACTCACAACAGCTTTCCAGAAAGCATAGCTTTCCCTTTCCTATCTCTAGCACATTTATGTTCTTACTAAGGCAAACAGGATCTCAGTGCAGGGATTTAGAGGCCTTTCTGCTAATTGCCAGCTTGTAAACTTAATTGGACTGTCTCCCTGGGCACTGTTCCTAAATCAATTAGGCAATGAGTTGGCTGTCACCTCTTTTTCCCAAGTAGGTCACCTAAAAGCGTGCCACCTAAGAGAAGTCAAGCATCCATATGGGAGGACGTTGACCTCTGCAGTTTAAAGTTATCGCACTTTAAAATTCATTCTGTTTGTTACTATAAAATCCTTTCTATATGGAAGGCAAACTTTTGTGTCCCCCATCCCCCATAGTTCATCACGCAAGTCAGAATATAAAGTTCTCTCTTGCTGCTTTGTTATTTTAGTCTTCTCTCTTTCTCTTTCTCTCACTGCTTGCAACCTAAGAGGCTGAAATAATACACAGATTAGTCAGTCCTCATTGTTGAGATCAGCAGTTTTGGGACTCTGTTAATTGATAAATAATTCATACATATACAAATTATATTGAAAATACAGTAAAGGTGTGTGACTGAGAAAACACAGACCTTCATCACTAAAAGCTTAAATTTGTTATTAATTCTCCATGGTGCGCATATGAAATGTAACTTGTGTTCTACATTAGGACACTCATTACTATCAGAAATATCTGTAAACAAAAGATTTACTTCAAGATGCAGTTGAAGTCTATGAGACTATGTATATATTTGAAATTAGGCTTGTGCTTAAGAACATTATTGAATTAGAGCATGTAACAAGTATTTTCTTGTGTTTTGGCTCTTAGCATCCATAAATAGGGTACTGCCAGTGAACCATTTTTTGTACATGGTGTGTTGGAATGAGCAGATCAATACAAAACATAAAAAGAATAAAAATTCAGAGCAGTTGTATAAACTCATCATGTTTGATCCTGTATATAAAATAACCTGCTTTTTAAAGAGTAATTTACTCTTTAATAAATAAGATAATTTTTTCTATCTTTCTATGCATCTGAGTTTTGGCTCTGTACTTTATAACTGGATCCTGCACTATGATTTTAACTTTTCTAGGCCCCAGGTGATCTTTGTGTTCAGGCTTGATCAAAGGAAGAATGCCAAGATTCTCTAAGCTATTTTCCATAAAAAACAGTTAACAAACAATTTCAGAGAATTTAAAAACATAGTTTTTAACTTCCTTTTTATGCTTTACCTATTTGGATAGTTTCCCTGAAGCTTCCACTACATTTTCTAGCATATTTCAGTCAGAACAGTAATCATTTCAAATTTGGCTCTAGAAAGACTACCTATCATATTTTATAGTTTAATTAGCATTCAAATAAAAATATTTATCTTCCCATAACAATTAGCACCAAAATTACATACTTTGTGCAACACTGTAAAAACATGCTACCAGAACAATTAGATGTTATCACTAGCACAAATATAGATATACAAAAACATGTTTAACATAGCAATTAAACAAAGTACCCAAAAGTTTCAATAAATTCAACTTTAAATATAATACAGAAGACAACCATAACTTTTTATGCTTAAAAATATGATTCTCTTCAAATAAATAAACCTCTTTGAATGGCAGTGGAAGCATCAGCTATGAGTTACCAGATTTTCCAGGCCTGTTGTTTATCAGTGAGTTATGGTCATACCTGTTCCCCAGCTTTCTTGCCGTCTTCCACTTCTTTGCTTGTACATACTACACCCATAATTATATTTTGCAAAACGTTTTATAAGATATAATTTCTGCATATTGGCTCTGTTTTTCTACATGGTCAGAAGGTTTTCTCTCAACCATTCTTTGTCTTTTGGTTGCAATTCTGAGACTCAATATTTCCCATCATCCTAGTACATTTTTCTTAAGTTTGAAGGACAGTTTCAGAACCCCTGCATAAGTATAAAGTCAACATCAATTGACTTTCTCCTTTAAATAGCTTTTATTGGCATTTTTCTTCTACCTAAGTAGATTTCAGAGTTCCTTTAGAAATACCCATATTTTCTTGCATGCTGTAGCCCCAAATAAGATATGCACCATGTTCTAGGGAAGGCAGAATGAAGAAAAAAATCATTTTGCAGAGTTATGGCTACATAAGGCAGGGACAGAGCCTAATCTTCAGCTCACTCACCCTCCCTTTCCTACTCAGGCACAAGCTACAGTTTTAACCCTCTCACAGCTGAATTGTCAACAGCTCTTGGTTTCTCAGGCAAAAGGTGAAACTGCAGGTGTTGCTGAAGACTGGATTCCATGGACAGACCTAAGATTTTGAAAAGAACAAAAAACAGTCTGAAAGGCTGTGAAAATGGAGGAGAGAGACTAGGAGTAACTAACAGCAAAATTGCTGAACAAAGGGTAGCTTGATTAGCAGATCATCAAGACCATGATAAAGGAGAAAGGGTTACTAAAGCTTATGAAGTGAAAAGTAATTAGCAGGAATCAGTAGAATCTAATGAGCTATGAAGTCAATTGATTCCCTTAGCAGTGCCTGAATAAAGATGCTTCTGCTACTGGTAGGCAGTTTGTTTTAAACTTTGGGTGAAATAGAAACCAAAGCAGGGTATGACTATACCACTGCACCTCCCCTGAATCTGCCACTGCTGGATTTTGCCTTTCTCTCCATAAATATATCATGCTGGGGATAAGTTGCTGGAGGGAGAAGACAAGGAAAAGAAGTGACAGCCATCTTATAGTGTTTTTATGCTTCTGTGCAGAAAATCAACCACCCTGCTTATGACACCCCCCCCCCCCTTTATCCCCCCCCCCCCCCACCCAATTTTTGGAAGGCTAATTTTTAAGGAAAAGTGTGTGTGGTATCTGAATAAATACGGTGTATCAGCAGTAGGCAACCACTGACAAGCATGCCAGAGCATGGCACTTATAGTTAATTCAGAGGAAAGTAAAACAACCCCACGGTAGTCTTAATTGCTGTGCAATCAAGTTTAATTGTTCAGATACTGTTCTTGAATTAACTCTTCTGTATTGTTTAAGACTAAGTTAAGAATAGCTTCTTCTGAGTGCTCTGAATCTGTTCCAAGAACCAATGACTTACTTGATTGAGAGATCAATTTGGATTTTTTTTACTTCATGCCATTGTGACATTTGATGTAAGTGCATGTATACAGATGCATACTTTATATCAGTATATAAAAAACCTCACACGTTCATCCCTGCACATGCACACACACACACAATCAATTAATGCCATTCTATGTCTCATTTACTAATACTTCCCTATCTGAAATATACTCCGTGAAGATAAATTTATTAATATATGTGAGGAGCTCAGATACTATAGAGAGAACCATCTCAAAAGAGCCTATAAATTTACTGTTGAGTAGTTTTGTTGCCGATAAACATATACTAGTTATGCACATGGTTGTATTTCACTGATGAGTTTTCTCCACAGTGTAAAACATAATGAGGCTAAATAATATGTTCTATGCAAACATACTTTAAAAAAGATTTTATAAAGCCCATTTATTTATTAAGACTTTAACAAAAGCAATAATGTTTAAACCGCACTGAAAAATAGTCTATTATTGTTCTACACCCATATGATACTACCCTTGGCTTTCATCTTTACTATTACAGGTGTCATCCCAAGAGGACAGCTGAGTCTTCTGGACATCCTCCACCAATACATTCAGTATGATGAGATGCAAGAGGCGATTAATGTCCTGAGTAGTATGAACTGGAACACTATGGGCCAACAGTGTTACATAAGCTTGAGTGCCATCGTAAATCACCTTTTTAGAAAAAAGTTGACAGCAGAGAGAGAAGGTTAGAATGTGATTATATTTTATTATAATTATATTTTATAAGGATTCATATGTTAAAATCCATGTGTGAGTTATGATAATATGTATTGACTTAAAAAAAAGACTTTACATTTAAAAGTTCCAAATTAGTCAGAAGAGTTACCTTGCTAGTCTATAAACAAGAGTCATTATTATACAGATAGATATTTTCAATAAAATTAGGCATAGATTGCATGCAGATTTTAATTCATATCAGTAATAAGGAAGGTCATACATTTCTAAAATATATTATACAATATATAATATTAGAGAGAAAGAGAATGAATAATTAAAATATGTACTTCTGTATTACACTCATGTGTAAGGATTCAGATACTTAACATTTGGAGCCAGGACAGAATTAAAGAGCAGCTTTGTCAAAGGGAAGGTACAAGAGCATTTACTGTTTTACTCGAACGCAAGACGAGGTTTCCCCCCCAGTCAGCATGGGGACAGAAGCTCCTTGTCTTACATTCGCATATAAGGAAATCTCATTAAATACATTGTCTATCATTAAACTGCTGCTAAAAGCAGCATGTGCTCATTAATCAAAATGAACTATGGAGTTGATTAAATGCAGCCAACGCTGAGCATGACTATAAAACACATGGCCCATACTGGGCAAACATATTGATGGAACCTACCACAATGATAGTTTTTGGAGAGGTTTTTTGTATTTTGTTTCAAGTGCCAAATAAGTTCCAGATTCAATTGGGCAAAGCCCAATTGTCAAATTCCAAAATTCTACTGAACAGAGCTCAGTCGTCAAGTCTGTGTGGTTCTACCACTAGGCAAGTATCCTCCTTCCTAGGCCCATTGGTCTGGGGCTTGGGATGCTCCCCAAATTGAGGCAAACATCTTACATGCAAGCCCCAGGCCCAGAGGCCTTGGGGTTCAGATGCCCCCAATCACTTGATCTTGATCTTTGTCTGATCTTAGCCAAAAGGATAGGTTGGAAAGCTTTTTACAAAAATATATTGTCTATATATATAAATAAAAATATACATATATGTATACCTCTACGCATCTATCTCATGACTGATATGGTTCACTCTAAACCACACCTTTACAGTTACACCATTCCTATTCTGTTACAGTAACCATACTATACTCTGTGCATCCACATGCCCATCACCATGCCCTTTACCTGACACGGTCATACAAAGGACTGCCTCAGTACCCCTTTTCTCTCCCCCCACCAATTCCCGTCCTGTTTCCCCAGCCCTTTCATTCATTATCTTAAATAAGTTAGTACATCCCATCTGAATAAACTGTGCAGTAGCACCCACTGTGCCTTTCTTTCTCATTTCCAGTGATTCCTGTTTCTTCACTAGCTGATAAATGTCTGGCAAATATCACTAAACAGGACCCCAAACAGTTCACCCAGAATCTCTCTGTCACCCCCTCTTAGCCTATCTCATACGTTTAGAGTGACTCTGCCCTTCATGAGGTGGAGCTGGCCCAGGTTGCTCTGTACCTCATCTGCACCTAAATTTTTAGAGGATCCCAAGACTCATGACAAGAACACCTAGTTGCAGCCATGTGTGGCAGGGCTAATTAGCACATGGATCCTTTGTGGCAGGTATCTGGAGTACACACAGATACTGAGCAGTGCTGAGCTGTGGAGTCACAATGGCTTGACTTTGGGGTCCAGCCCAATGATCTATATGGTAAACCCTCACCCTTTGGGCTTTGGACTAATATCTTGTATAGTTTGTACTACATATAAGTAGGTAAAAAGTACTCCTTTCAAAATGTGTTTATGGAGTACCTCTGCTAAGATTTGTAGCAGTTTCAAAAAATATAAAATGCATCAATGCTAGCTGAGCTAAATTAAATTACTACAGGTATGTTTATTTTAAAGTCATTACTTTCAGATTTGCTTCTCACTTCTATGTGCTCAGGGACAGCAGGGTCTGATTGGGGGGGGGTAGGTGCAAGGGTCTGCAGGGGGAAGAAGTTGCAGAGCCAGAGGGCAGGGGTGTCACCTGACTCCCAGATCTATTTTTCCTGCTGTAGCAATGAGAGGAGAACAAATTCAAGACAAACTTCTGATAATTAGATTCTATGCCTGGAAAATTATAACAAATTTATAAAGTTTCTATATATAGACTCCATTTATTGGGGGTCATCTTATATTCAGGGTCATCTTATAGTAACATAAATATGGTAGTTTTGTTTGTAAGTGTTTGCAGAAGGGGCATTCTTTAGTGTCCCATTCAGTGGCTTTCTGTGTTGTGTTTTTCTCCTGCATCCATGAGGAGTGTCACATCTCTACTTACTGTAACCTTCCTATCCAGCACAGTCACTTCTGACATCCTCACATGAAAAGGTGAACTTAAGGCTCAGCCTCATCTCTGCTGGATTCCAGTGAGATATATTCCTACTGAATTGTTGTACACTATGGCACATAAGAGATTCTAAGATTTAGAGTGTAACAATTGAGTAGGAAAATGTCATGCCAAGGCCCAGCAGGAGTGCAACCAGGTACAAGGCACATCTTTGATGAGACGAAAGGAGGCTGCTAGTAGAGGTGGTGAGTCACAGATCACCGAAAAATGAATGCTATTCAGTTTGCTCTCAGATCATCAGTTAGTTATCCCCGTTCTACATTATGAGATACATGAGAGGTTACCATAATCTTAACTCTACAAATGTACAATATTGAAGTTGTGTCTTAATAAAACACACTTCAAAAAAAATCAGTGAAAAAGGCTGTTCTTAAAGCTATAGTGTAAAATGTGTATATTATAAAAAAATGTCTGTATGTTCCTATCTCCCTGTCTTAGACTGTTTTAACTTCAAACAGAATTTTATTCTAGACAGGATTTACTCTGTATGACTTGCAAATTTGACATGGTAATTTGTTTTCTTTTTATTAGTGAAACCCAGTGAGCCCTTTTATTTGTAGCGATGGGGCGGTTATCTTTGAGATCTTCATTTCTGCTTTCAACATCAAGCTGGGCTATCTAATGAATCTGTAACAGTGCTAGTAGTTACTTGTATTCCATGTAGGTTGGAACATTTCTGAAGTACAAAACATGCTGTCAAGAAAACAGCAATGGCAAAAGAATATGGCTTGTTTTTGCAATAGCATTGTTGTATTCAGTTTTAATCTAAATTGACTGCTGCTTTGAAAGAAAATACCTCTGAAGTCCAGCTTATCTTTCTGTCTAGATTTAAGATAATGCAAAACCTAATTTACTAACAGTTTGCCTATGTTCCTAAGATTATACTATTAGAGTATTTAGTGCTATCACACCTTACAGAATAAAATGTAGCTATGTTTAGACTTAAGAACTAGTATCACTAAATACAGAAATGGCTAGTTCAAATAAACATTAATAACCACAAATTAATGAGATTTTGTCTGCCTGATGAGCAGGGATCCTGGTTTTCTCTGATAAAAAAATCCCCAATTTTCAGTTTTAAAAAAGTAACCCAAAACCCACATGTTTTCATGATTACAATGAAACACCACTAATATATCTATTAGACATATAGATCCCTGCTCATCAGGCAGAAAAATCTCATTAATTTGTGGTTATTAATGTTTATTTGAATTAGCCATTTCTGTATTTAGTGATAATAGTTCGTAAATCTAAGCATATTTGCATTTTATTCTGTAAGGTGTGATAGCACTAAATACTCTAAAAGTATAGTGTTAGGAACATAGGCAAACTGTTAGTAATTTAGGTTTTGCATTATCTTAAATCTAGACAGAAAGATAAGCTAGACTTCAGAGGTATTTTCTTTCAAAGCAGCAGTCAATTTAGATACCTGCTGCCAAAAGCACCATGTGCTCATTAATCAAAATGAACTATGCAGTTGATTAAATGCAGCCGACACTGGGCGTTACTATAAAACACATGGCCCATATTGGGCAAACATATAGATATCTATATACTAGTGTTGTTTCATTTTAATCATGGAAAAATGTGGGTTTTGGTTTACTTTTTTCAACTGAAAATTGGAGATTTTTTTATCAGAGAAAACCAGGATCCGTCTTTATAACCATCCTTCAGCTATTTGAAGATTTATGTACAAACCCCATCCTGCCAATCTTCTTTTCTGTAGACTAAGTAATCCTAGAAAAATAATTCTATAGTTAAGAAAGGAAAATTTATAGCAGGTCAGACCATTTTTAAAAAGAAAACTCTTCTGAAAAAAGAGCTTGATTCTCCAGTAGTTTTAAACCAATGTGATGGCACTAACTACTGTGGAGCTATTCTGAATTGCATCAGTGCAAGATAAAGGAACATCAGGCCCAAGGTTTTCTTTTGATCCTTTTTACAAAAATGAGGAAGTATTTGTTGAGGGGAGTTCCAGAGCCCTTAGGGCCATCACGAGAAAAGCTTAGCTACCTGCTTGCCTCATGCACAACGGTACTACTTGAAAAAGCTGTACACTATTGTTCTTTTCGTATGAGAAAAGAGAAAAGTTAACCGGGATTGATTTTAGTTCGACAAACTTGTTCAAACTCTGTTGCTCTTATGAGTCACTGTTTTAATTATGCTTTTCTGGCAGAGCTTTGTTTATTATAGATTTCTTCACTTCTGACAGCTTTCTGTTGCTCAAAATCATTGTCAGCTCTGCCTCAAGTGAAAGTTTATACACAGGTTTGTTTTTGTACCAGCTGTCATATATTAATTTTATCAGTCCTGCAACAAACTTGCTTTTCATCTGTGTTTGAGAAATCTGACTGATTGCAAACATGAACACCCTGTTGTAATTGAAGCAGTTTCACTTGTTTCATTGCTGCTGTGTTTGAACTCCACAGCACAGCTTGAGGCAAGCCTTGGAACCTTTTATGCTCCAGCAAGGCCTCTGTTGGATATGACTGTCTTGGAATATCGGGATCCAATCAGCAGATATGCAAGAAGGTTCTTCCACCACCTGCTCAGGTGAATGACAACTTCAACTTTTATTAACTGCATATTTCAATACCCACCTACTTTAATGTGGTTAGCATTTTCCAGGAGGACCACCCCTGAAAAATGCATTCATTGTCACAGTTTATTTAGCTTGCACTTCTTTCCTTTCAAGAAGGGTATAATAAAGTGCTTCTTAGAGATCTTCTATCAACAGTACACTTAAAATGAATTAACCTTCCCTTTTAATTTGATAGAAAGAAGATTGCATACATTTAGAGAGATTTATGGGCAGGTCATCCGTAGATTAGCAATTGGAACAGCTTACAAACTGGGAGGGAGCATTGAGTTTTAATTGATGCTAAAAATGCAAATGAACTGTGTATGGTCCAAGACATTTTTGGCTCCAAGCCTGGGAAATCTGTCTTTTGTTCTTCTCACCTTCACATTTCTCATTTAGGAAATAATATCCCAGGTCATAACCTTAGTGTTAATGCTGTTGCTTAAGTAATACAATCTTTGCTGCAGTTCAAAACCCTAAAAAGAGCTTCAGCCACTAAAAAAATATAATAAAAAGAAAGGTTGCTGTGACTTGTAATTCACACAATGACTTCAAAAACGTGAAAACCAAATTCAACTCGACATTCTGTAACCTTAATAATAGTCTTGAAGTTTTCATCAATCATCAGTTAAATAGTCCTGAATGTTTTTGAATTTCTTCAAATATTACATTATATCAGGCGACCCCCTGCAAACGTATTCACAGATTAAATGTATATTTTATTCAGTATTTTGCTTAGACACCTGTTAGTAGTTGAAGCAAGTCATTCATTGTCAAGGCTAAAATTTGTATCTTAAAGAGTGTTAAAAATATTTTGATCAAGTAGGAGAGTAAGATTCACATACTTAAATATGAAAGCACCCATTTGTCTTAGAATGATTTAGTTTTCCTGCAAAAATTATGAATTGTCATATTATTTTGAAAGTGAAATGTATCCTATTTTGGATCTTAGTGAGAAATACGCAATATTTCCTTTAAAATGGGGAGTATGAAAAAGAATAGTCTTTAAGCTCACCTGGTCTACAAGAAAGCATTTATACATTTTTTTTTGTTTAAATGTTGTAAGGTTTGCACTAGAGAATGCTGTTTTAAACAACTGGATATTGTTATTAGAAATGATTGCGCACAAGTTGTACCTTTGCTTCCTCTAAAGAGCAGTAAGGAGAAAGCATTATGATAGTGGCCGAACAGGAGTGCTTTGGGCCATTCTGCCTGCATGGTACAGATGCAGAAAGAATGCCTCTGAGCTTACTGAAAGGTGTGAATATAGTTTAAATCTGCTTGTGAAAGATTTAGCCTCTCTGACTCAGGAACTTGCTTCCAAAAGTTAGCAGGCATGCAGAGGCATGGGGCCCTGGCTAAGACTCAACCCTTGAGGCTGTTGAGTGTGGCTAGGTGCACTGAGCCAACACTCCTTCTCTCTACCAGCATTCGGGAAGCTTTAGTGTCAGTTTGTTGCCTGGGTGTGGAAGGGGATGGACTGGAGTCTCCAGGTGCATTCAGCCTCCCTCACAAGACAAGCCAGGATGCAGTCCTTAAGTGAGCCTAATACAATAGCAGTCTGTGAAACAACTGCATGTTGTTTTGTTGTCTCCCAGTTGTCAATAGCCTTTGTATTCAACTGAATCTAAGTGATATGATCATGTGCTTGCTGCAGAGCAGATGGTAATGCTTAAAGCTTATCTGAGAAGACATAATCTAGGTACAAAATGAAATGTTTAAAAATGAGTGGTTTATCTGATAGAAAGCAACAAGCTTTGGTGTCCAGAGCTGATTTTTATTTTATTAAAGTGCTTCTTTCTTAATTGGTGATTATTTCCCACTTTCTTTTAGATATTTTATTACATGGCTAGAAATCATTTGAATGTAGGCTCAGCCAAAAGTGTATTGGGGTTTAAAGAAACTCTGTTAAAAATCAACTTGATCACTCAGGATTTAGGAGTATGTCCCACTTCTGCGGGGGGGCACATCAGGAAGCACAATGCCTTTTAATCTTTACAGGCACAAAGAGGCCAACCACCCTGCTTCCTACCTCCCACTGTATCATTTTAAGGTGCAGCTTATTTTAAATATTTGCAGGTTTGCTGTAAGTGTTTAATGGATCTGTTTGCAATGTTGTTCTATTACTGAAATTATGTATTATGGGTGGCCAAACATAGCAATCAAAGGAGCATGGCAATGCTGATGTGTTGCAAACCATCCAGCTTCGCACTTTCAGTGCCAGCCTAAGCCACTGCAAGGGGTATTTGGTTGTAATCAGATGAGCATAAAAGGGTAAAAGTGAAACTGAGCACTATGCATGATTTAAGACTCTGGAGACTGTATGAGGATCTGCTCCTCCAGCAAGAACTATAGAAAACACAGTGCTTCCCAGAGTGCTCAGACATGCAGTATAGGCAGAGCCAATGTCTTGAATCCCGTCCTTCCTGAGGCATTGTAGGGTCCATAGCAACTCCTATGGGTTTCAGAAAGGCTAAGTGAGAAGTGTGTGCATCTGCACGTGTGTGTGTGTGTGTGTGCAGGAAGCAAATATAGAAAGTAGGAAAACAACAAATAACTGGGAAGCAGGGGAGGGGTAGAATTAGTAATTCAGGTAGAAAGTGCCAGGGATGGGGACATGAGGAAAAAAGAAGAACAACGTGCAGCAGATTAGAGCAGACAAGGATAGAGGTGCATCCACAGGCTTCAAAGGGCATAGAAGAAGCAGAGAAAGGACTGAGGAGAACAGAGGAAGGATGGAAGCCACCATGGGTGGTATGGTGTATATTCATGGGACCAGCAGAGGCACATGGACACAAGGACAGCCTTTTTTGCACAATAAAAGCCTGAAGCACTTTAAACATTTCTGCGTATAAAACTGAATGTCATTCTTGTAAACAAAGCCTCCCCCACTACAGCTTTCCTTTGATTGCCCCACCAATTTGCCTCAAGCTTTTTCTGAAGGGACCTGCTGTCTTTGGAGAGCATAGTTCAGTGTACATGCTGAGGCAACTCTGGTCTGCCTGCTGAGTCTGCCAAAAAGGTGCCAGTTAGTATAATAGATTTTTATTTATGAATGCCTGTGTTAACTGGAATCTTGATTGGAATCACCCTTTCCACCAAACAGCCCACACAGTGATAATGAATTTGCATCATTCTTGGTATGTCTACACACCATAATGCAGTGCTGCGCTTAGACACCCCATGCTCATATTCGCTAGCTTTGACACTGGAACAGCATAGTCAAAGAATCATAGAAAATTAGGGTTGGAAGGAAAAGAGGTCATCTAGTCCAGCTCCCTGCTCAAAGCAAGACTAGCCCCAACTATATTATCCCAGCCAAGGCTTTGTCTAGGCAGGTCTTGAAAATCTCTAAGGATGGAGATTCCACAACCTCTCTGGGTAACCTGCCCCAGTGCTTTACTACCCTCCTAGTGAGAGAGTTTTTCTTAATATCTAACCTAAACTTCCCTTGCTGTGACTTGGGACCATTGTTCATTCTTCTGTCATCTGCCAACACTAAGAACAGTTTAGCTCCATCCTGTTTGGAACCACCCATCAGGTAGTTGAAGGCTATTATTAAATCCTCCCTTAGTCTTCTCTTCTTCAGATGAAATAAGTTCAGTTCCCTCAGCCTCTCTTCCTAAGTCATGTTCCCCAGCACTCTAACCATTTTTGTTGCCCTCTGCTGGACTCTCTCCAATTTGTACACATTTCTCTTGTAGTGGGAAGCCCAAAACTGAACACAGTACTCCAGAGGTGGCCTCACCAGTGTCAGATAGAGGTGAATAATCACTTCCCTTGATCTGCTGGTAACACACCTACCAATGCAGCCCCGTATGCCATTAGCATTCTTGGCAACAGGGGCGCACTGTTGACTTATATTCAGCTTATTGACCACTGTAATCCCCAGGTCCTTTTCTGTGGAGCTTCTGCTTAGCCAGTGAGTCCCCAGCCTGTACTAATGAACAGGATTGTTCCATCCTAAGTGCAGGACTTTGTATTTGTCCTTATTGAACTTCATGACATTTCTTTCAGTCCAATCCTACAATTTATCTAGGTCTCTCTGAATCTTAGCCCTATCCTCCAGTGTATCTACTGCTCCACTCAGCTTGGTGCAAACTTGCTGACATCCACTCCATCTCATCTTCCATCCACTCCATCTCGTCTTCCAGATCATTTATTAGAAAATGTTAAGACTCATAGAACAAAATTGACAAAGCCATAAAGGAAATACAGTGTGCCTGAGCTAGGGACTAACATAAGCGGGCTGGGGGTGAGGAGGAGAACGCATCTAGGTTACATAATTACAATGTTAGTCAGCTAAGTCTGGGGGTGGGAGGGAAAGGGGAGAGAGGGGGGTCACAACACTGAGAGAGAAAGAGGATAGATGCAAACAACCCCATACAAAAATTGAACAAAACCAGCCCCAGAACCAACCCCTGGGGCACTCCACTTGATACCAGCTGCCAAGTAGAGATGGAGCCATTGATTACTACCCTTTGAGCTCAGTGGTCCAAACAGTTTTCTATCCACCTTACAGTCCATTCATTCAACCCATGCTTCCTTAGCTTGCTGGGAAGAATGCGGTGGGAAACCACATCAATAGCCTTGCTGAAATCAACATATATCACATCCACTGCTCTCCCTGAATCCACAGAGCCAGTCATCTCATCAGAGAAGGCAATCGGGTTGATCAGGCTTGACTTGCCCTTGTTGAATCCATGCTGACTATTTCTAATCCCTTTCTTCTCCTCCATGTGCTTATAAATAGATTCCTTGAGGATCTGCTTAATGATTTTTCCAGGGACTGAATTGAGGCTGACCAGTCTGTAGTTCCCCAGATCCAACTTCTTCCCTTTCTTAAAGACAGGCACTATATTTGTCCTTTTCCAATCATCTAGGACCTTGCCAGACTGCCATGAGTTTTCAAAGGTAAAGGCCAATGGCTTTGCAATCACATTGCTCAACTGCCTCAGCACCCTTGGGTACA